ACCACTAATGTTTTGGGTCCAATTTTCACTCTTCAGAAACTGTATCCTTTTCTGCTTATGAAGAGGACTCGCCAACTCTTTTTCATATCAAGTTGCGCAGGATCTATTGGTAATTTTTTTCCTATTTCTGTATCCGCATATGGTCAGTCTAAGGCGGCTTTAAATTACACCGTAAAGGAGCTCAGCTTTGAGTTAATGCCAGAAGGTTTTACTGTTGTTGCCGCTCACCCTGGCCTTGTCTCAACTGATATGGGTCAATATGGTGTACAAAAATTTGCAGAGATGAATATTCAGTTAAGCGGTGTAGAGGTCATCACACCCGAGCAAAGCGCTTCCGGGCTGGTTAATGTTTTGGCTAGTATTACTCCTTCAGATAATGGAAAGTTTCTCAATTATGATGGATCTGAAGCTGTTTTCTAGGGTATAAGTGAAAAGACCATTTGCACTTCGCGGAGGTAGGTACTTCCATTTTTTAATGAAACATTTTACAATAGATATATGATATTCGTTAAAAGTATCTGAATTATGCAGGTCTTTAAAAGCTATGAATATGTTGGTTATCAAGTTATAAGACGGTGTCTTATGATGAGTAAGAATGTCACCTTTTCCAAAGATTATTTGTCAGTATATTTTGTTGTGGTAACAAAAGGCGATACTTCTTTAATTCATATTCACCTTCACACTAAGTTATTTTTAAGTGTGTTCCCGGAATGTGCTTCTTCCTTTTCATTTTGAAAATACTCTGAGTTAACAAAATATCCTGGACTCATAATCTACATGCCCACATTAAGGCTCCGAGGTAGTGAGGCCCAACAACTGCAATGATTTCAAAGAAAGTCCTTTGAAAAAATTCATTTTAGTTCCAAGATAAAGGTTTTCTTCCTGTTTCAAGTAACCCTTTGTCATAAAAAAGAATCTTGCAATTCTATCCTTGGATGTATGATTCGCACTTGCTGCATGATATACACTACCCAAAAATAAAACTGCGTCCCCCTCTTTAGCTTCAATGTAAAATTCCATTTCCTTGTCGAAACTTCCACATGCATCGTATGGACCCCAAAGGTGAGAGCCAACAATAAATCGAGTTGCGCCATTTTCGTTGCTCATATCTGTGAGCGCAACACCTAAACCAAGCATTGTTTCCTCTCCATACTTAAAAGTATCTCGGGTTTGATGTACAGTCGAATGCACGTATTCTTCACGACGATATATTGTGAAACGATGAGAAACTTTTAAATTATTGAGTTCATGCCCAAGAACGAGTCTGGCTTGTGAAGAATATTCTATATGTAAATAAATAAAATTTTACTGTCTTGTGGACTGATTTTTTGGAGCGCTATCATGCGCCGCGTCAATATGGTCTGAGTAGGGCTCGTGAACTGGTGTGCCGCTGTTTTCTTCGGTATCCACATCTAAATTGGCATCATCTTTCATCAAACTCGCCAAGTCACTAGCATCTTTATCATGGCCATTTATTAATTCGTCAGCCTCATCCAAAAATTGATCGTGAGTGAGCGAAGAGTAACTGAGGCCATTTTTACTGCGAGAAAATATAGATCTTAATCCTTCGACTGCGTTTGCCTTTTTGCGTAAAAACTTGAGCTACCACGGACGTCACAGTAAATGCAAAAACGCCGAACTTCACAATTGCATTAACAGCACGATCAGTTTGATTTTCTTCAATTAGCTCTTCATCACCTAGTCTAATCTCACCAAACCGAGCGAACCCACCATTTCTTTTGATTCCCCGATCGTAGAAACCGTGTGGCGAAGACAAAAATAAAAAGCGGTAATCCAATGATGAATACTAATGAAATCCTGTTAACCTTGTATTTTTCATTAAACTCTTTTTCTTTCCCTGAACATGCCTTTGGCACGGTAGCTTTGTCCAATTCTAAACCCCTCACACAAGTTGACATCGGAATTTTTCTTATCCTGTAGGGTCGAAATATTCTAGGGCATCTGTTTTCTTACAAATATTACTAGGTTCAGATGGATCCAAACCTTCGACCAATTTACAGGGGCCGTCTTTAGCCTTGTAGAAGTTGTAATCACACTCGAAATCATTTCTGGTACAGGAACAGTTTTTTACAATTTTTACCATTTCTCTGAGCGGAGCGGCATCATTGTAACAATCATCATTTATTTTTTCAAGTATTCTGCCTTGTCCAAACAAACACTCGGACCCTGGGTTGGCAATCGGTGCATAGTCGTAATCGTCATTCCTTTCGTTTTCGAAATCGAGGACACATTGTCTATTGAAGCAACCCGAGAAATCTAGCGTGAAAGTCTTGGTTTTTTGACCTTTAACATTTGGTGACGTTGCAACTATCGTAAATCTCATCGCGGAATCCTGGGGAACAGTGACAATATCGTCCACGAACAACTCCTCTTCAGTGAAATTGAAGTCCCTCCATGTTTTACCCGAATCCGTTGAATAAGTGACGGTGTCAGTTTGCTTGCTATCTGGTACTAGCACGATGATACTGCCATGATCACCATACTTCCATTGATATGGAGAATTTTTAACTTCCTCCCATGTAATTCCACCATCTGTGCTCATAAAAGTGGAACAATCTTCATATGGCAGAAGATATTCGCCAACATTTCCGACACCGATCATATATCCTAGAGCTGAACCCGAAGAATACGTATCCCTGATGTCTCTCCTTTCGGTGAATCCACGAAGATTAAGGGAACAGCCTTCTAATGACTTCGATTTACAAGCATAGGCCTTTCCTTCAGAATTTTTTGGAGGAGGATATATGTATTGCCAATCGGCTCCTTCATTAAATGTAATTTTTGACTTTAATCTCTTGCTATCTTCTGAACCATCTTTGATTCCCTCGGCATTTGAAACAACGTTTACCAAAACAATTCCTTCTAAGCCTTGAAGTTTTTCGAAATCAACATAGCCTCGAGGTCCTCTATTGACTGCTCTCTCCAAAACCACAAATGATGTTCCGTTAGAGTTGGATTTCATCAACGCCCCAAATTCTTTGTCGGGGGACGATTCAGTTGTCAAGTGAAAGAATATTGCACCCTGTCGGGAGCCAAGAATGGTATAGGCTTGTTGTTTAATGGACAGATCAGCTGGCAGGACTGCTTCCGCAAACTCTTCACCATCAATTGTTACGTAAGCTCTTAGCTCATCAGAACCATGAGGGACCGCAATGATAGTGTACTCACCAGTAGAAACATAACCAACTATTTCATCGAATACTACTTTGCGATTGTTTTTGAAGAAATCGTTACTCGTCACCAAAGATCTCTTGTTAGTCTCTTTATCTTTAATCGCACACATGATCATGCTCTCGTCAGAAGGATGCTCATAAGTCGAGCCAACAAACTCGCAAGAGTACGCTCCCTGTGCGAGTTCTTCGAAATTACTACCACCATCCCGTGTGACGAACGCTACCGCATGACAAGCTTCATCGTACAAACTTTTGCAACCTTGGGCACCATAGAAAATGAACGTTTCAGAATCCTTAGCATGAAACGAAAGTGGAAACCCCAATTGTCTTGAGTGGGGTAATTCAATGCATGAAAAAGATCTCGCTCTATCCTTTGTAATGTAAAGCTTACCAGTCTTTCCGAACAGATATGCGGATGAATTGAAATACGGATTAAACATCACTTCTATGATCGTATCATCAATTCTGAGTTGGCGGAAGTTTTGCCCATTGTCATGTGATAAATAAACGTCGTGCTTGTCCGGAAGTGCAATTATAGTTTCATCACCAACAGTGTCAAAGTATTGATAGAAGGTCATTTTGAAATCTAGTTCGTTTTCAACAACCGAAACATTATCAATTGCTCCCTTATCTTCGTTACTCGTGCATTTTACATCGAGGTCATTAATTTTAAGTGGTTTGTTGCATAAATTTCCTCTCTCGAGTTGTTTAGGGGCCAATTTGACATGGGATTTACGTGTGGTACAAGCGCTTGAACGCGATAGTAAAGTGTGATCAAGTAAACAATTTCCATATCCATTTGGGACAAACTCAGGTGCACATCCGTAGTCCTCATAGCCACAGGGACATGTTTCCTCGATTATCTTGGCATTTTCGTAAAGCTCCCGGACGAGACACTTTGCGTCTTGCTTTCTTCTTCTAAACTTACGCTTTGCACCTTTCAGGCATTTGCCATCATTCAAATACCAGTCTTCCATTTCGTCGCTTGAGCACTTTTTGCTTTCAAATGCAGAGCTGAAATCAACCGTGTAAATAAATCCCTCCTGATCCTCCCTGTTTCCTTTATTGCCAGAAACTATGAAAGTCAAGCCAGATCCGTCGAGAGATGTGGGTGTGACCTTGTGGATATACATTTCTTCATCGAATTCATATTCTGTCCAGGTTTCACCCTGATCAAGTGAATAGTAAAACCCAGAGGTCGGATTACCGTTGGAAATCCAAAAATGAGGGGCTGCTACCGCGATATTACCCAGGTCTCCAAAAGCCACTGTAGCTGGAAAGTCTAAGATTTTCCTCCAGGTTGCACCTCCATCTCGAGATATGAAGGTTTGTTGTTTGTCCCATGAGTGATCATAATGTCCCCCCTACAGTACCAGTTAGGGCAAGAATACCGGCAGTTGATGGAGAGCCCACATTTCGACTTGAGCTAGCAAACAAAGATCCTGTTACAAAGATCCTGTTACAGAGCATGTTTCTGGATCGCTGACATCACAAGAATATTCGTTGTTTGGATCATCAACTTTTAAATACGACCAGGACTGACCATCATCGAAGGATATTCTGGTTTTCAAAACGGTTCTAGAAAAGGGTTGATCACTCACAAATGCGTTGAAAGTACTTAAAATGGTGCCCTCCAGTTCATCTACCGATCGCAAAAAGTAGAAGCCCGCATCGTCCGACAATAGCGACGACATTGGGGTGAACTTCAAACCAGTGGAGTCAGATAAAAGGAGATCCTCACCGCCAAAGTTGCGTTTGTCTGTCTGGCTCACAGATGCGACAAGCTTCTTCTTGGATCCTCCTAAGGATTGGATGCTCAAATCTGAACGCAATTGTGATGGAAAGTAGGCCTCGTCAAAATTCTTACCATCGTGGGAGACCCAAACGTGCCTCACAGATTCAGAGTTGAACCTGTCCTCCATGGTGGTTATCACGCAGTAATCACCTATTATTTTGAGATCTGTGAGTGTCATTCCTTCGAAGTTGCGCACAGTTGAAGTTGTTTTGCCGTGATCATTTGTTGTAATAACGGAGGAAGCCTTCAAGAAGTTCGACCCATGCCCAATGGACAAGGTTCTTGAGATGCATACGACCTCATGGTCGCCACCCAATTCTGATTCCTTATACACTCGGAAAAATACGCAGTCAACGGACGAGTAATCATTCCTGGAAGTCTTTTCAGGTTTGGGCAGGTCCAAATTGTTGAAGTCTTTGCCGTTCTTTGACAAGAAAACCTTTTGATCGCAAGAGTGAGCTTGCTCCCTGCAAACGCTACATGAGACGATGATGTCGCCTTCAAACTGAGGGTGAGTTTTCACGGTACAGTAGCTATACCCTTTATCTTCTAAAAAATCATCGCCCCAGGTAAGGCTGATCTCGCTCCAAGTTTCTGCCTGGTCATCTGTAACGTATATGGTGCCTGAATTCACCGCATAGGCAAACGCACGCTTGCCCGGGTAGTATCTATCTACTTCGAAGTACGAGATATTCTCGTTGATCGATTCGACGGGTTCCCAAGTTTTGCCGCTATCTGAGGAACGGCAGAGTTTCGAGTGTTCCTCCCGCAAAATCACGGGGCTGTCCTCAAAAGGCTGAAACATATGCCATATTCCAGACTTTTGCTTGGTAACCTCAGGTTTCCATTGCGCGGCCACCAGCTGTAGTAGCCATATTAGTGCAAATTTCGCTGTCCTCCGCACGGAGGATTTCATACACGGAAGTTTGTAGAAGAAACGTGAAAACTTGGTAACAGTAGGTAGGCCATTTTGTTTGAGAGTTTCTGCACGTGATACCGCCACGCCACGCCGCGAAAAAAAAAAACACGCGACTTGAGCTCTTCCACCGCCCGTGTTGCCGCGCCGCCCCAAAATTTGTGCAGATAAGCAATTAAGATAGGATTCTTGTCAACAACAATTCTGCTGTTATCACTTTATATTTTTTTGCAACTCCATCGAAAGATAATTTACTCGGCGGCAGGAAGGGTAGTATACAATTTCAATCAACTCGTAATAGTTATTGTAAACGCTTCTTGTATCTAAGAACTTTACTTATTGGGATATTTAAGCGAAATTAAAAAGAGAAAATGCTGCTGAAATTGAATCCATCAGTTCAATGAACTCCCAAAGACTATTAAAAACTAGAAGTTGACAGATGACGTATCCCAAGAAACAAGATTTAAAGTGTAATCAGCACCTGGGAGTTGGGTGCTGAAGCTAATATATTTTGCCACTAGTATTGAAGCTCGAAATGATGATTTGATGATTTTCCGGCATTGGGCCAAGGTCTTTGCACGCAGTGCGTGCATTCATTACGACTGATGTGAGATTTCCTAATTTTCGTCATAATATTGAATTCTTAAGAACCAAGTCACATCTACGAGAGATTTATCGTGTTTATACCCGAAATCAGGAGATACAAATCAATTCTTTACGTTATAGTACTGGCAATTTTTCTGTCGCTATAAGGAGTTATTATATTACTCTCCAGATAAGCGGTAAAGAAAACACCCAATTTAAGTCACATGTATTTTGAATCAAAACGGCAGCGAACTAATCTTCGCTAATCAACAAATGCCAAGAAAAAGTTAATTCAAAGTTGTCTCTATTCATTATTGCCTGAAGGGTGCAAAAACTTTAATAAAAGTTGATATACATTCTCTGAAAGTGGTAAGAAGTGCCTCAAAACTACATTTCCATGCTTGCCGGCGAAGATTCAATCAATTTCATCATCTATGGCGGGATAAAAAATTAAAATTTTACAGCCCAGAGTGATTAAAACATCTCAAACATCCGTGAAGTGCAGAATATGACAACATGCTTTTTGCCAATAAATTTTACGGAATTTCCGCGCATGGCATAGTGGCTATCAAATTCTTCCTTTATTCAATAGTGTTTGAGCGACTGAAACACTCCGAAAGGATACTGTTGCATGCTAACAGAAAGCTTCAGACAGCTGTGCTCGCCAGGTGGAAATTAAGCAGCACTTTTGAAAGGAAGGCTAAGCCTCCTGAAAATAAACTGTGCACCATATTGGAGGGTATGATTGTTGAATGTCAAGGTTTTTTCATCCTCTCAAACAATCGAGATCATCGCACTGAACGTTCCAGTGACGTCCAAAGCCTAAGCGGGTAGTCTCTATTGATAACACCAAAAAAGACAATTCTGAGTAGAGGTTAGCATTTGCCGTAATGTCATTCATATGTTTGCGAAGCACCTCAGTATAAAATCTCTCGAAAATCTGTTATGAATGATACAGCGATAAGTGTCGCGTGCTATAATTTAGTGAAAATCCAGCGCAATTAAGATTTAGAATGCTACAGATAGACACTAATGGGGAAGAAAATTACTTTCAGCATAGATTAGAGAAGAATAATGGATTAAAAGATCCCTCAATGCGCAGCAAAAAAATAATAAATGCTATAGCTATGAGCTTTAGGAGCTTAAGGTAAATTTACAGGGACATTGGCACATCACCATTATTGTATTGAAAACAGTTTTCACAGAGTCTATAGTTGAGGAAAAACAGATTTTTGGTGCGGTTTAAGGTACTTTTTGGGTTTTAATTTGATTTTAATTATGAAATACTGCTTGCTTGTCATTGGGACCCAATCAAGGGCAAAGTGGATAAATAGCAGTTTATTGGAGGCTTTCTAGAAAGAAAACCCGCCCAAAAGCGCGAGAATTCCCGGTAGTAATAATGGGATGATTTAGAGCTACTCAATAGAAGTGAAACCCACAACAGTTCACTCAACACGATTTCTACCTTAATGGGGAAATCGTCTTTTCTATGCAACGATAAAATTTAGAAATACTTTCTCTTCCGTAAGCATGAGCTTATGTTTTTTTGGGTGTTCCCTAGTCATGCCGATGATTTATTAACTCCAACGTCTTCTCTTTTGAGTGCTGTAGATGGAATAGCGGTTGCACTGTCTTTTCTCAGGAGCAAAGTTATGCCTATTCCTGTGTGTATTCTGCTTGGCATTTTTCTCATCCAAAAATTTGGCTCACGATATATTTCGCTGTCATTCTCTCCGATAGAAACTATTTGGTTTTTGACCATCTTGGTTATTTAATAGTGAACAATGTTTCTCATTCAGAAGTTTTCAATGTTTCAAGCTCCTAGGAAGCTATTAATTTTTTTAAAATTACAAGATAATTTCGACGCTATAGGCTCTATTGTGCTATCTATTACGGGATCCGAAGCCATTTTTGCCAGTGTCGGTCATTTCACTCCTCTTTCAATGCAATTGATGCCAAGACTATTTGTTTATCCATATCTTCTGTTAACCTATTTGGGTCAAGCATCGTATTTATTGGATCACCCTCTCAAAGTGGCAAACGTTTTGTTTAGTAGTATCCCAGGAGGGCCATCTGGAAAAATCTATTGGTATGTTCTTGTGTTATCAACGCTTGCGACTATCATAACACCACAGGTCCTAATATCGGGATGCTTTTTGATCACAGGCCAGATGATGAAGATCGAATTTCTTCCACATTTTAAAATTCATCACAAGCCCGCAAATAATAAAGGACAAATCTTCGTTCTGACAATATTTTTTTTAAAAATTGCAGTTATATGCACTTGTGACGGCTTCAAATCTTCAACCAATGTTGCAGCGGCTTCTGAGTTAGGTATTTTGACGAGTTGTTTATTACTTCTATTCTTATTTTTGCGGCAACGATCATCGTTCACAAGCTTCATTGGGTTATTGTGATTACATAATTTTTGTCTATGGGTGCTTTGGAGATGTGCTATAAAACTATGAACCCCTGAAAAAGTTCCTCATGAAGCTTGGTTTACATTATTGACCTCTTTCACAATGTATGGCGCAGTTCCACTATGGGCATGGATAGTGTCTTCTAAAACAAAGTAGCAATTCAAAGAGAAGGTGCGTCTAAATGACTTCCTTTCAAGAACAGAGCCCAAAGATCAGGTTTTTCATCCCGGGAATAGAAAAATGCCCAAACATCAAACTGATTTTGATAAAATTTATTGAAGCGAAATGGCGGCATAGATGAAGGGATTTTACGTCATCGCGGCACTGCTTACATATATAGACACCCGCTTCCTATCCAAAGAAAAACTAAGACCAATAATTATCACGGAGCAATATTTGAGTAATAGGGAGGGTGGATTTCACGCGTATCTCTAGAATTTTTTTCCGGAGATACCTGTGAAGATCGTAATTATCACCTTATTTAAAAGTTGCTGAGTTTTATAACTACAAAGAGTCCAAGTATTCTACTACAGTATAAAGAAAGCCCATCGTGATTGAATAACACTTTGAATCTAATCTATTGAAGTTTCTCTGTAATATTCTTTTGTTGCATCTATCCACTTATTTTTAATCATTTCCAACAGGATCCATGGGAACTCTATCAAACCTCTTACTTTGAACAGATGCTATATCTACGGTTTCACCGAGAGTTAAAGAATTTATCCGACATATATTTAGGAAGGGTAGAGAAATTATGAAGATCCACATAATTCAATACGTGTCAGAAGAAGTCAAAAAGCACTATCAAGTGTTTCTAGACGCGAGTTGACTGAACTGTTTATTTTTTCTCATACTGATGTGGAGTCGTCACCAATATGTCGTTACGATTTTTTTTCGTGCTGAGTTGAAGGGGTGAAAAATTGCCGCTGCGGTGCTCTCTAGACTAACGCTGGAACAAACTACTGATCAGCTATGTATTTGAAGAGTCACAATCAACCGAATTCAGGAGCAAGGTTTGGTGACGATTCTCCCAAATACCGGTTATTTAGCTAAATTGCTTGCTGTACATTTATCTATTTTCATTGGAACTTTATACATTAATTGGGGACAGGAGATAGGTCTTTTTTTTTTTCAAGAAGTGGCCATTTGAGAATTATGAAGATGTAGAAATCAAAACTTTTATAATGCTATCAGAGAAGAGCATGCAGTGAAGTCTGAACAAATATAAAAATTGCGTTAAGGTTTATTCCCTTCTTTCAGGAGCCACCAGAACTCCTATGTAATGGACTGGTGCTGATTGTTCTGGGCTGGAAGTTAAACCTTTGTTTAACTTGAATAAGAGATTCAGGGCGGCCATAAATATTGAGGATGAAACCGGGGATTCTAATTCCTTCTTGGACCTCTGGAAAAAGCATTGAATTTCAGGAAATATCATAAGAATATTACAGGTTACGCTTTTAATCCTTAATTTATGACAATTGGAAACTATGATCAAAGTCAAGACACGTTATCGTGGAAAACGAAGCCATGGAAAGAAAGAATTCACATCAGTAATCCTTTAATGACTATTTTAATAAAATAATGTTACGTGATTAAGGGCGCAATCTATGACTTTAGTACAGCTTTAGTAGTTCAAATCTTCATTTAAGCAAGATTATGAAGCCAAATCTCAAATATTTGCAATTCGAATGGTTGGATTGATCGGATGCTTCTACTAAGAAGATTGATGAGATTAGAACCTTCGCACAGAAACTTGCCGCGTAATCCCAAGTTCTTATCCCATCAAAAGTTTTCTTTTACTATTAGAGCAAACGAGAAGTTCATTAAAGATAAGCCCAATTCGTTCTCTAGTAGTAGAAGAATGAAAGTTCTGTTTCAACCAAGGCAGTTTTTGACTTGCAAAAAAAACATATATTTCCTGAATTTCGAGCACAAAAACAATGTTAGCCCATCTGATTCAATTAATTTCTAAATTTTCCAGTTTTCATATACACTGAATATTAGGTCAATTTGCGAGTTCGAGGTTCAAAAGAAGTAATTAGGAGAAGGAAAATTGCTATTTCAGTATCAGTTACTTTTATATCAAGATATAAACAAGAAGATTTTACACTGCAGTTTTTCTGACGAATCTAAATATTTAGAAGAAAAAAGAGAAGAATTCAAGGATAGAATACTGTTTTTCTAATTAGTAACGGAAATGCTAGGTGTAGTATGTCTCGAATGTATGCGTAATCCAGAAGATCAATAGAATTCAACAACCTCTGCATACTGTTCCCATATATGCTTGCTTTGAAATAGATTCTAGAAAATTTAGCTCCCCACTTTCCATACACATTTCGTAAAAAAGACCACTTTTCTGTTTCAGCAAGACATATGGATGGCCAATCTGCTTTATTATTCCAGAATCTAACACCACAATCTCATCGTAGTCAATGATAGTTCTCATACGGTGTGCTATTGTTATAGTGATATTATCTGTAGAAAATTCTTGAAGGGCTTCTTGAATTGCGACTTCAGTATTGTTATCTATCGAGGCTGTTGCCTCATCAAGAATTAAAATATTGGGTCTTTTCAAAAAGGCACGCATTAAACAGATAATTTGGCGTTGACCTTGGGAAAGGTTTTTTCCTCTATCTTCAACATAAGTATTAATAAATTCATGATAATCCTCGCAGAAACCAGTGTAAACAAGATTAAATTTTCGAACTAGCGTTTTCAGCTCTACATCAGAGTGTTTCATGAAAGGATCAATATTTGAGCGGATTGATCCCGAAAAAAGAATTGGGTCTTGCGGAACGATTGTTAGTGCTTTTCGTAAAACATCTAACTTTATATTTTGAATGTTAACGTTTCCTATTTTAACTTGCCCCTTCGTTGGTTCAATGAAACGACAAAGTAAGTTTAATATTGTAGACTTCCCAGATCCTGTCCTTCCTACAATTGCAACTCTTGAGTTAGGATGAACCTCAAAGGTAACATTTTTCAAAACATCTGACTGATTTGGTGCATACCTCATAAAAACATTTTTAAATTCTATCTTTCCATTTGAATGCCAATCATGTGGTAAATTTATTGTTTGCTCACCAAGTTCCGAGTGAATTTCAGTATATTCTTTAATCCTCTCGGCTGATATCATATTTACTTCAAAATTGGAAGAGACAGTTGCTATCCACAGTGCGTTGAGTGAAAATGGCATTGCTAAATTCAAACACACACCAGCAAGACCAGCTCCAATTTCCTTAGCATTTGACACACAAAAAGCTCCACAAGCACCTAAGACAAACGAGCTCAGAACTTCGATCCTGAGACATAACCATTGTTGAACGACAGCAAGATGGAGAAAAGGTATATTATTCTGATCTATTCGAAATATGAACTTCGATAGAAATTCTTCTTGCTTACAATATGAACGTATGGTAGTAAATCCCGATAATGCTTCCGAAAGTTGCTCAAATAAAGGCGATCTTGTGATAGATTCATACCTTTTCAAATCACGGAATACAGGAATATAAAGTAACACCACAGATGCATAAGCTATGGCCAGTAATATGGAGAAAATCAAAGCCTTTGGAGTGACTATCGATATGAGTGTTATAATTGAAGCAAAGCATGTAGAGGAATAAATGAGTAAAAGAAGGGTCACCAGTTGATCTTGCTCAAGAATTTGAAAATCTTTTGTGAAGCGATTTATTATTCTCCCTACTGGGGTTACATCAAAAAATTGCATTTTGGCGTACAACACGCTTTTCAAAAGCTCTTGATAAACTCCTGACATTGCTATTAAGCCTCTATAAAGAAAGCAAAACATAATAATGGACACCATACAAGCATTTAAAACACCGACTAGAAGAAATGTTCCCATGTAAAACTCAGTAATTCTAGTGTATTCATTTTCTTTCTCAGCCGCATTTATCCAGTCTTTTATCCAGATGTTCTGAAATATATCGATGGCATTAACGAAAAAAAACATAACCGTGAAAAATAAGATAATCCTAGTCCCTCCAATATATTGAATTAACCACAAGTATACCGTGTGATTCATTGACCTAGTAGTCTTACTTTCTTCCCTGAGATTGGTGGCTTCCGGATTTAATGACCGACTGTGGCAGGGTTTGCACGGTTCTTCAAATTTTTGAGAGAATTTCTTTGGGTGAGCTTGAGGTTCTTTGCCAGGATTATACATTTTGTCTTCCACCACAGCTTTTCCATTACACATTTTGATAAGAAAACCGGTATGATGATTGATGAGGGAGTTATTATGTGTCGCCATAATACAAGTTCTGTTATTCATTAAATCCCCTTTGAGGCATTTCTCAAATATCCATGATACCATGCCAGGATCCACTGCACTCAAACAATCATCAAGAATGACGTATTTTGAATCTGAGTATATCGCTCTGGCAAGTGCAACTCGTTGTTTTTGCCCACCAGAGAGATTCATTCCATTATTTCCTACTATTGTTTGATCACCTGCTTCAAGTTCACAAATGTCTCTATCAAGGCCGCAACAGGAAATTACCTTCAAATATTTATCTTCATGATAGGAATTGAAAAATAGAATATTGTCCCTTAACGTTGTGTTTACAATCCATGGAGTCTGAGAGCAGTATGCGTATACTGTTTGATGGAGGGTATCATTAGGGACATATAAAACCCCCTCTACAAGTTCCAGCTCTCCAAGAATGGAGAGCAGTAGACTTGTTTTTCCACTGCCAGATGGTCCCGTAATAATATTCAGTGCGTTTTGTTTGAACGAAAAATTTAGATTTTGTAACTTAAAACCAGATTTTTCATGATTCCAAATAAATGAGGAGTTTGCGAATTTAAAATTTGAATAGCTTTGACCTAATTTTCCGTAATTTTTGGCTTCCGATGAGTTTAGGAAAGTTTCTATCCTGTGAAATGAGACTCTGATTTGGACGAAACTTCCCAAGATAGTCGCTAGTTGGTTAATGGGAGCTCGCAAAATCGCAAATAAGCTGAGCGTCGTAAAGGCACAAGGAATAGAAATTTTTTCTTTCTGCACAAAGACTGATAAAGAGAAGGTCAATGCTGTGACTAGCGTGGGGGCAACAAAGAACAGAAAATGAATCCCAGTCCAGCAGTATAATTTTTTCACAAGTAGTGAAACCTCTTTTCTCCGTAAATTTAATATCAGCTTTTGGAAATGGATTTCCCAGCTAAGATATTTGACATTTTTGATAGAGCCCAGTACCTCATTAATAGTATTAGTTTTCTTATCTGTATACTTCAGTGCTGCAGATTGATAATCTTTCATCATCTTTGCTATTTTGATGTTGAGAGGAAATAAAACTACCATTGTGGATACGCCTATAAGTGCCGACCAGCTAAGTAGTCGGTACAATAGCAGCAAAGCTACTAGCGACATTGTGAATGATTGTACGAGTGTGTGCAAGGATAAACTAAATTGAGAGACAGCCGATATGTCCACTGCAAGAAGATTTTGTACATCCCCATCACTGCTGCTCACGTCTGCGGCATTTCCAGAGCTCAAAAGGCTTTTATTCAAAACCTTGTTAAAGACCTCTGTTGTAAGCAAGGTTTTCAGTTGCATTGAAATGCGATTTCCAATATGCATAGCCTGTGTTTCACAGACCGCCGCTACAATCTTTGAAATACACATTGCTACCACAAAAACTGATGCAAAGCGTCGAGTTGAGTTCTCGGGGTCATCAATGTAGTTCAAAATATTTCTCATTTCAAGTGCTGGTACAAAAGTGATTAATGCCCCAATAAAGCTCCATGTGCATTGTAATAAAAGTTTTTTCCAGAAAAGCTTTATCAGTTTTGCGAGATGACCATGGCCATTGACTTTGAAGAAGTCATTGATGATAAATAGTGATTGATCCGATAAGGGCAACTTGGATATATTTTCCAGCGATAAAGGGACATTCACGTGCTTAAATATCATACTATCCAACCACGAAAATGTCAGATAATCGAAAATGGATAGTTTTTCTTCGGAAGAAACACAACTTGTGATGCCATTTTGTGATTTTAATACGAGTGGATTTACTAATGATATTAATGCAGTAGTAAATAGTAAAGCAGCTAAAATTAGTTGTTTTAGTGTTTTTATACCTTCTCCGCTACCTATTTTGTAGTTCAGGTATAAAGAGGTTACCTGTAACACTTTTGATGAAAAAAGGAAAGCATATGACGTGAAGCTTGAAGCGCGCAAAACTAGGAGAAAACTTGAGTAATCACGTTTGCATGTTAACACCATACGATAAATTAGAAGCAATAAAAGAACTGAAAGTAAAATCCTGTCCCCAAAAAGGCTCTCTGCGAAGTTTGACAAAGCTATGCTCTGCAGCTGTAGACTTTCATTTAAAGAAATGAAGAAAATTAAAAAGAGAAGTTCAAAAAGAGCCTTGAAAATCTCCTGTTTTGGAACGATTTTAGAATATAATTCTTTTTCCGCTTCACTTATCCTTGCGAGTTTCGCCAAGTGTGTATTAGAGGTTTCTGAAAATTGTCTTTGTACTAGTAGCGGCGTTGTCTCTGATTCAGTTTTGCCAACAGTTGATAAAATTTTCTCAAATAAACTTTTCACCAGACACCAGGCAAGAAGAAAAGCGTCAAATATAGCCAGAGGCACGTAAAGCCTGGATGTAAGTTCCACGATGAAATCCAAGTTCTTTGTTGCGTTGTCTGAAACCATATCCTTCTAAATCTCGAAATATAAGAATTGGAATTTGTAGATCTCGTTTTAAATAATAGATATTTTTACAACTGCACCCTTCTTTGTCGGAAGGACTGCACGTTATAGTCACCATATTAATCTTTACCTAAAAGCTAAATTTTCTTCGCCCCGCATTCGTCGTACATTACGCCCCTTCGTTTCTACGTAGGCAAAACTGTTGCAAAACCCTTGGCAGCCTTATTTGTCAGCTTAATAGATGCAACACACGAGATGCTCAAGAATTACAAAAAAAGAACTATAATTGCACCTAGGTCATTAGAAACCAACTCTCCGAGTAACAGTTGCATAAACGAAGTTAATAAGTCTGGAGAACAGGATAGCCCTCTAAAACATCCGTTTGCTCAATTCTGTCATTTGCATATTGCGAAAACGATGATTATACGTAGCCTATGGCTCCATGAATTGACGCTTATGCATGGAATGACTTGTTAAATGAGCTGTTCGGTATAGTTGAATGCAGTTTTTACACCCCGTTTGGATGTGATATGGCCTCATTTTGAGCATTTAAATGTCTTTTTCGGCATGCAAGAATTACTTTAATCTGCAGAGCTCGAAAAAACTGTAAATGGCAACAGGAACCGGGCAAAGACACGATGAGCCTATTAAAAGATAACCGTACAACAGTTATTACCCACAAGGTCACCGTCACAGTTTTGGGCAAAAATTGATAATTTGAATACATGAAAACGTATATATATGAAGTTTAGTTTGAAAATACTCAATTGTGGGATGCACTGGCATCAAGAAATGTTCGGCCACAAAGTTCTCACAGTTCTTTTCTCTATTATCTCATGCTCAATCTTATGCGCTGCTCAACTCCCTTACATGGATGATGGCCATCATACCTCATTGCCTACTGCCTTTGAGTTCAAAGACTTGAATATCAGTCGTTATTTTGGTATCAACGTGGAATGCTCTGGTACACCATCATACCAAAAAATTTACGTTCAAAATACTACATCATTTACTTTTTACATGGGTATTCCCAACACAACTGTTCTACTAGATTATAGACCGGCTTTATGGATAATGGGCGCTAATGTTGTGGTGCCAGATGAATATGATGGTGCCTATGGAGACAGTTATTATGATTACGACATCCATGTCCCAACTGAGTTCCAGGGATATAGAATATCCACCGAAACGACTCCTGCTTGGACTGGGTTTGATGAAGATGACGTATCTGGAATTGTTTTGCTGGCAACAAAGGTAAACATCAGCAGTCCAGGCTATGTTTATTTTGTGGTAGAGCCCGAAAGTAATAGAAGAGCACGTATTTGGACATGCGTTGGTAAAAATGAAGTTGACATTAATGAAGACGGCATGGCCTCAGAAATTGAGGAAAGTGCTTGGTGGAATGATAAAACGTATCCACTTCTCGGTGAGCGCTGTTTTAACTATTAGAACGACTTTTAAACTTATACGAGAAACGTTGAAGATGAAACAGTATGTTTCTCCAAACACAAAAAACCGAACTTTCTGTTGGTATAAAAATAGAAAGAATCAATTAAAAGCTCTGACTAGTTTCAGTTATTTCTTCAATATATAATTCAATTCGAAGTACACCCTAACTCTCAATGTAGACAATGCAAAATTTGTGAGAGCCGAGTTGTATGTGGGAGTTGATGTTCAAAACTATAGTTTTCAGGCTCTCAAAGTTTTGTTAAGATTAAAATCTTATTGGTGCAACAGGAAAAGAACAAATGAAAAGAAGATAGAAGCTTCTATTGTTTTTGAATTAACGCTAACCTGCTGTTTCGAAAGAAATTTTTGAGGTGAACTAGTTTCATTTTTTAAATGTACAAGTCACAAATTCCATGTGAACCTTTATTATCCTCATTGATATCACGAGTGAAGCTTTGGATTCGATCTTACTCAGTATTGCTTATATCACTATAATTCAATTTAGAGGAGGAAGTTCGACATCGTTTGCATGAAAAGCTTTTAACGCCAAGGTATTTTTTAGCAATTAATGCCTGGTGATTAATTCAAGTGACGGAGAAGTTCACAGGTGCGAAAAATATTCTGAATGAACCCTTAAAATTCTGTATATTTAGTAAAATTTTATTTTTAGAGCTTCCGTTTGCAGCTTATTTTACGTCCTTCTTAATTGGTCTACCGAATTCTCTCTTCTGATTAAATGCAGGCTGTTTGATGAAAAATGATCGTTTAACATGGATATTATTCTAATGCTACGCCGTGCAATAGAACCCGAACGTTTAGTGCAGCACGGAAAAAAAAAAAAAAATAAGGTGCTTTTGTATGCACCGAAAAGAAACGCTAAAGTCCGATCAAAAAGTCTTATACCAAGACGTAGAAAGCACGGTATGAAAAACACAGAAAAGAACTCAGAGCGACTCCAAACAACATTTAGTTAACTCTTTTTTTATTATCTGAAAGACCAGCAAAAGAACAGTGAAAGGTCTATTTGGTGCAGAATTTGCTTCATATATTATTATTACAAAAGAAGGATGACTCGCTATTAGTATCTGTATAGGGAAATATACAAAATCATTTCATTTCGTCTCAAGTGAGAGAATTTCTCTGTTGTCCTGCAAGATTAAATCATCAAAAAAAAATGTGAATGTGTTGCATGCAGACAAGATAGAGGGTGTAAGAGCAAATTTCCGAGCACATATCAAGTACTCGTGTAGGGCGGAAGCGAAATACGAAAATATAGATCTGCTTTTCATACTAAGATCATTTGATTAGTCAAACCGGGGTGCAATTCTCGTCAGCGAATATGTATACATAGAATTGGATGCTTGACACATCAAGTACCTTAATTCTTACCTAGCGCCCCAAAAAGTTTTATTTTGCCTCCTTGGCAATTCTAAAGATGTCTGGAAGAGAAGAATCGAAAAATGAAAACATCTTGGAGCTATCAAAATCAGAGGCATATCAAGAATCAGCTGAATCAGCCGCCCCTCAAAAAAATATCATTGCAAATACAGGACTATTTTTATGCATAGGCTCCCTTACTTTAATTCTTTTTATCACAGCCCTTGACATTCTTATCGTGGGAACAATTATTGACGTTGTTGCCGAGCAGTTTGGAGAGTATTCTAAGACTGGTTGGCTTGTAACAGGCTATAGTCTACCAAATGCTATTTTCAGTCTGCTTTGGGGACGATTAGCCTCCACAATTGGTTTTCAAACAAGTGTTGTATTTGCAATAGCAATTTTTGAAGCGGGTTCGTTGGTGGCCGCGTTAGCGCATTCAATGAACATGCTAATTGCAGGAAGAGTTATTGCTGGGGTTGGTGGAAGTGGCCTTCAAACACTTTGTTTTGTGATTGGATCTTCTATGGTGGGAGAACGATCAAGACCTTTGATCATCTCTGTTCTTTCCTGTGCTTTTGCAATAGCCGCTGTTGTGGGGCCCATTATCGGAGGAGCTTTTACAACACATGTGACATGGAGATGGTGCTTTTATATCAATTTGCCTATTGGTGGCCTGGCTATCATTTTGTTTTTATTAACTTATAACCCTGACAAAAAAAGATTTAGTACGAGAATTAGAGGTTTCTTGGAGTCTCTTTTGAAAATTGATCCTCGCAAGCTTGTTATGAAAAATCTATGGTCAGAATGTTTTAAGTCTCTGATATTTAAGTTTGATTTCATAGGCTTTAGCATCAACTCGGCTGGTTTGGTTTTATTTTTACTAGGATTGACATTTGGCGGTAATGTTTATCATTGGGGGTCAGGTCAGGTGATAACATACCTGGTATTAGGGGTAGTGCTGTTTTTGTGCTCTTTAGTTTACGATTTCTTCATTTTTGACATATTAAATCCTCAAGCTACCAATATGGCTTTCAGGCCTCTCCTGCTGAAAAAATTGCTAATACATCCTGCGATCCTAATACCAAACTTGGTCACATTTTTACTGTGTGTTGGATACAATGGCCAGATGATTTACTCGGTGCAGTTTTTCCAACTTGTTCTCGGATCCAGTGCGTGGAAGGCAGGTCTACATTTGATACCGATTGTTATCACAAATGTTATAGCTGCAATCACAAGTGGAATTGTAACAAAAAAATATGGGGTTGTAAAGCCGATGCTAGTGTTAGGGGGCGTGTTAGGTGTAATTGGAGCTGGCCTCATAACACTAATGGATTACAAATCCAATTCTTCGATGCAAATAGGTGTGCTTATTTTACCTGGATTTTCATTGGGTTTTGTACTTCAAGCTTCACTTATGACTACACAGCTCCAAATTCAGAAAGACCGTCCAGAAGCAATGGTAGACTTCATTGAGATAACAGCCTTCAACACTTTTATGAAATCACTAGGAACAACATTTGGAGGAATTCTCTCAACTACTGTATTTACGGCTTCCCTAAGTGAAAAAATATCTAAATTGCATCTCGAACCTTACGTCAATCAAAGTGTAGACGATATGATTCATTATCGGATCAATAATTTTGATGGAAAACATTCAGTCATCGCAGCCACACTCAGCGACTCTATCAAAAATGTGTTTTGGATGGATTTAGGGTTTTATGGCCTGGGGTTTATCTTATGCATTTTCGCATCCAATAAAAAACTTTCAGTTTCCAAGACTTCCAAAGCCAAAGACGACTTATGCGTCTAAGCACATTTAAAGAAAGGACATGAATTTTACTAGAATTATAAACCGAGATCACTCCATTATTTTTGGTTATGGTCCCAGGGTTGGACAAAAAGAGCCTAAAAAAGTTTTCATCCCAAAGTGAGACAAAGACTTGTGCTGTGAAAAACTTACCTTTGCAAAGTGAGACAAAAAGTCTTTGCAAAGTAGGACAATCGATTATAAATGTACTTTAACGTAGTCCCCTGCAAGCCATAACTCAGGATACCGTAGAGTGAATAAAGCGCTATATTACAAAACATTCAGAAACCCATATTCAAAAGCTCTAGGTCATGTGATAAGCACGTGAGTATCACATGTCCCTCACATGACCTACTGTCAAGTTGTCACGAGACACACGGTGACCACGCGTGTTGTCGGGTGCGAATGTGTGAGTAGGAATTTGGCTGCAGCCGTGTTTTGTCGTACTTAAAATACATCAGATACGAGCTTTCTCTGTTTGAAGCCCCGAGCAGATGGAAGCACTTACGTAATCATGAGGGTATCCAGGTATACGGTAGTGGATGGTTTTTTGGTTTTCACAGCCGCCAACGGCAAGCGCAAAATAGTTAGCCCTGAATATCTGCAAAGGCGGGGGACTCAGGCAGAAAGAGAAGCAATACATGCTGCAGATTTGAATGACTTGAGTGTGTTTGATACATGCATTTCTGACGCTTTCCCAGTAGCATCAGAGCGCCTCTTTCAGCTGCTACCTGTCGTTGAACGTAGATTTTACGGCGATGGCAAGGGCCATAGAGTGGTGAGCTCGAGAAATACCACTTTGGAACATAAATCTCGATCGTATGCGTGGCGTGTTGTGGAGTTTTTTACTCGCAGTCATCGGAAGAAGTATCTTTACCACGAACTTGGAGGCATTCCAATATGCTGCTCGGAGGCTGATCCTTTCCAGCTGAGAATTATTGAGCACGAGCGCAACAACTCTGTGTTCTTTGTGGAGCTTGGTGTTCAGCACATAAAATTCACAGCCAACGACGTACGTCTTTTGCGCATGTACCAGCGCAGCAAGGAGAGGTACATCGCGGAGAGCCGGGCGCTCCTAAGTCATATGGGAGATGTAGGCCGTACTAAGGGCCTTACCAGACCACTGGAGCCTACGTTTTTCCGTCCAATTGCCAAAAGCACAGAATTACGCGAGTTCCAGACGTCAACAAGAGCACGGTATGGTCGAGATTTTGCCGTTTTATATTATGTTCTGCTCCACTCGGCGGAGTTGTCGTTCATGAGAAATGCTGCAGTGGGACATTTTGACGATATTGATAGTCCCAACGAAGGTGCTATCTCCCGTTTCGACGAAGAGACTATAGCCTCCTACGCAAATAAAATGCACCGTATCTTCCTCGACGCCTTGACGCAACCTGAGGCCCGCGGACTTGTACATATCCTTGTACGTTTATGTGGTCTGATGTGGACCGTAGCCGACATCGCATGGATGCACTCAAGGGCTGGGTGATGAACGCCGTTATCTATCAGGACCCTGACGACAGCAACAGATGCTTTGAAAAAGAAACCTGGGTCTGGGTCAAGGAAATCTACACAAAGGTATGCCGCGAGCTCGACTACTCTGCCGTATATCACTCCAAGTCGATAGGCGATGGTAAATACATTATTGATGGAAAGCAATTCTCGCGCGATTATGTCCGTAGTCTGTACTGGGAACTTCAGTGCCAGGTAGATGAGCTGATTGAGCAGCTGAGTGAATTTTAATTTTACTACATGCTTCCTCTCGCTACGGCCTGCAGTACAGTGTTTGATTCGCCCCACGAGTATCTCGAGGAGAGCAAAAAGACACCGAAACGCTCGTTCCAGGCTCTGTTCAGTATCAATGCGTTACGAGATCTTGAGCCGCGACCCAAAGATGTCTTGCGAGACGCAGTACTCGGTATTATAGATACCATATCCTACCATCTAATGGCAATGGTGTATATCGCCTCGTGCGGACCGTACCGTTTTCCAGAGATCAGGGTTTTGCGCGTTTCGGGCCCACAAAAGAACATCTTTGTCGACGATAAGCTGCGGCGGATCCAACTTCTGACTAACTACACGAAAAACGGCAGCAACAAGCCGCTAGCAAAGGAGCTAGACAAGAATACTTCAGACTATTTGTTCTACTTTCTCACCGTTATCAAGACCATTCAAATCTCGCTGCTTGAAGATTACGACCAAGTGTCACAGA